TCTCCTTGGTTGCTTTCATTTTTTGAATAAGCATGGTGCTATGTAGTGACCTAGCCTTGAAATTTAAATGCTTAGGCCTTTTCCCCTTTTCTTTGGTGGTTGGCATTTCTTGAGTTAATTCAAAATCTACCCGTCCCGTTGGACAGCCATATGTAAAGATAAATCTGAACGAGAACACTGTTCAAAAATCCAGAAAAATACTCCAGTATAATATACTGGAGATTGGAGCACCGGTGCTCCAATCTCTAATATATTATACTGGAACTTTCCGCGTGTGAAGTTCCACCATATTATGCTGGAAGTTCACAGGTGCACCTATCTTCAGTATATTATGCTGGAACTTTCCGTGTTACAGCAAAATAGTGGCTATTTTTCAATGTCTTTGCAATCGCTGGCTATTTTTGAATAACCAGTCCGAAAACTGGCTAGCCCGTGCTATTTATAGGACATGAGTACGTAATAAGATGGGCCTCCGGGTTTGGGTTCGCATCAATCGATCAATTTGGACAGGCCCGCAGTAATTAATGGGCCTAGCTAAAAGGCCCAACAAGCATATTGGTATGAGAGGGACATTCCCTCCTCCGAGTAANGGAGGTGTAGGGGGTGTTTTGGGGGGGGGGTGTAGGGGCTGTTTGGACCGTTGGCAACAGCTATTTTTGCCATTTAAGCCGTTGGCCAACGACTAGTTTAAAAAAAAAAAAAATTAATTTCTGGCGGGACGTGGGACGGGACGGGACAAACGGGACGAAATGGCCGTCCCGTCCCATCCCGTGTCCCGTTTAACATTGTCCCATCCCATTTAACTTGAAGCGGGACGGGACGGGACGGGATGGGACCAGGACTGGACGCGGGACGGGACGGGACGACCCGTCCCGTTGGACAGCCATATGTAAAGATAAATCTGAACGAGAACACTGTTCAAAATCCAGAAAAATACTCCAGTATAATATACTGGAGATTGGAGCACCGGTGCTCCAATCTCTAATATATTATACTGGAACTTTCCGCGTGTGAAGTTCCACCATATTATGCTGGAAGTTCACAGGTGCACCTATCTTCAGTATATTATGCTGGAACTTTCCGTGTTACAGCAAAATAGTGGCTATTTTTCAATGTCTTTGCAATCGCTGGCTATTTTTGAATAACCAGTCCGAAAACTGGCTAGCCCGTGCTATTTATAGGACATGAGTACGTAATAAGATGGGCCTCCGGGTTTGGGTTCGCATCAATCGATCAATTTGGACAGGCCCGCAGTAATTAATGGGCCTAGCTAAAAGGCCCAACAAGCATATTGGTATGAGAGGGACATTCCCTCCTCCGAGTAAAATCAAAGGAAGATGGAGGTGGACATTCCCGCGGACGTCCCCTGCTCTTCCACCGCCGTCAATTCCATCATTCGCATGGGCACCGTAAGGCACTGTTTTTGTTTCCCTAGTTTGTTTTCCAAATATTCTTAAACACTTATTAGGATCTGTACTGTACGTGGGACTATACTGCAGGCCGGCTTAATCTGGGGTTCCTGTTCTGGTCCATACGAAGCCAACAAATTAGGTACCATACTTAGTTTTTAATGTATAATTCATTCGCTGTTGATGATAAGATCAAACCTTTTGTGTATTTTTCTTATTCTGCTATACTCCTATACTACGAACAGGTCTTGCTGGCATTAATCGAGCTTCTTTTATTGTAAGTTGCTCATTGCAATCCCTTTCCTGTGATTTTTTGTTTGGTTTGGTTATAATCTGATTTTCTTATGTGCTTTTACTCTATATGCAGGCTAAGTCAGTTGGTCGGTTTGGCTTTCAGTGGGGTAATCACATTGACTTTCCCCAATCTAATTTACATTAACCAAGTATTTTCCCGACATTTCACCTTCTATGTTAATCTAGATTTAAGTTATATGCAAGTGTGAAGTACAGTACTAGTTATCTTACACGCCAACTACATTAATCGTCTATATTAAGCATGAGATTTGGTGATCTATAAAATAAGATGAAGTAAGGTAAATAACCTGCTACAACAGGTTAACTAAAATGATAAAGTATCATACTGCTACACTGAAATATAAACCAATCAGGAGAGCATTGTGTTTTTGGTGGCGCACATTTTGATATGTGATATTAAAGTCAATTATGTGTAACAAATTAGAAAAACCAAAAGAGTAGAATTTTCTCTGCCTTCTCTCTATACTCTCTCTCTAAGCTACAATGCAATCTACTGACCTACCCCACCCACCTGCCCCACCTGACCCCAATCCATAATATTT